GCATCAAACTAAATGCAGGTCAGGCCATAGTGAAGGGGGAAGATTTACTTGACCTATTTTACCCTTCCGACGATTCTAGTGATGAGATGGTTGTATCGGAGGACTCCGAGGACTCCGAGGCTGCAGACCCATCTTATGTACCTGAGGACGGCGTTCCATTTGATGCTGTTATGAATGTAGCAGGGCAGGATTGAATTAGTTTTTGTCCCTGTGCTGCAAAAAATGAAGTGAGTGTACTGATCACGGCGGATTTCCTTGATTCATGGTGTTCAATGCATGTGTTGAGATCATCTCGAATGCACGCTTTTGGTCTGTTCGAAGTCCACTGAAGTACATAGTTCATGGAACAGCTCCAGATTGTTTAGTGGAGTGATTCCACCACGCATCTTGATGCCATGCCAAACTTTTTCCGCCTAAATCGGGGAAATTGTGTTGTTAAGGAAACCTGAAATCATCGCAAGTGGGCGTGGAGAGAATGGATCTCCATCAAAACCTGCATATTCTGGACCATCTTTCTCTGCGACAGCGAAGCGACAAGGGCACGAGTAGAGAACTATTTTGGACTAGACACTTACAGGCCGATGAAGCACATACTCAATATTTATCGCTTCATAAGTACAAATTGTTCTCCGACCCCATCCTTATGCTATCCTTTAAACCTCGCACTCTTTTGTTTGACACTTGCTTTTTACTTTCCATCCTCCGTCCTTAAACACAACTGCTACCATCACACTCATTTTTTTGACAAACACTCCATCTATTCCACTGTCCGTATACCTGCCAACACTCTCATTTTATTCCCATCCATTCCTCCACACCCTTTGTTTAGAAAAATCTAAAAGTATACATTGATACCGCAGTTAATTTATGTTGTGGAGATATTTTGGCCAAGTAGCGTCTGAGTCATTCAACCCAAACGAAAAGCTGCAACCAGATTCAAAAAGCCTAGTCACAAGGAAGGTCAAGGCTGCGCAGCAGCCATTTCTAGTTCTGCATGGCATCAGAAAGTTTGTCAGTATGGTCGAGGGAAGCTGGAATCGGAGTTGCCCACTTAGTTGAAAGTTGACGTCCCTGCGCCCAAGAACGGTGGTAGGTTAAATGGAGACGATGCCTGATACAGCGGATTGAACGATGCTGAGGGCAATGTGGGCGCTGTGAGAGGCGAGATAGAAGTCGACGTCGATGACGCTGGATTCCATGTCGCAACAGCTGCCGTATCCCAAGGGTAAGACGTGTTATAATTGCGGCATTGCAGCCCGACCTGAGTGTGATATCACAATGTCATTAGATATCGCTCTCAGCTCTACACATCGTACTTATATGCATCTCTGTGTGGCGCAAATGAACAAAGGTTAAAGCATTAGGACAATGAAACTTCCCATAAAAGGGAACAATAATCATAACAACAAGGGCATCGGCATGCCACTTCAACACTCATTCCGATGACCATACATTCCTCCAGTTCTGTTGGCAGGACGTATCAAAGTCGCATGCAGCAGCAGTGGCAATGGGTGCATAGATCAGGAAGTGGTAGCAGGCGTGTTCAGTGGGGGAATGGTGATATCGGCATGGACAGTGATGAGCAGGGATGGGCAGAAAAATGGGTAGCGGCAGACAAGACATCATGTCTCGATTGGAAGAACAAGCGGTGTCAAAACACAGACAGACAGCCAGCAAATGCAGCTAGCATCGGCAGCCTACAGGGTAATTTTCAAAGATTACACTCAAGTCACGCAACTGGCAAGGCAGGGTGATGTCAACACTGGCAGCGCACGAGAAGCAGCTAGCAAACACAACTAGCAAGGTGGTGTTGACATCGGCAGCTAAAATCGCAAGCCCAACGGCAGGGCACAGGGTAGTTACAGAGCTTTATCCTCAAGCGCCCAACATTTGATCACAAGCCCGCACGGAACAGTCCAATCATCGGCCAGGTTACAGGACACTCCGATCGGCATAAGCGGGGTGGCATAATACGTCAGCACATCATCTGCAGCGCATTTCGACTTTCCCTTCAGCAACGTCAGGTTCCTACCAACTCTTCCCTCAACACGACATTCTGGCCTTTCCTACTTCAGTAACGTCGGGTTGCTACATCAACCCTTCCCCTCAACCTGACATCCATACATCTCACTTTCTCCACTGTGGTGTCAACAGGCACAGGCGACGTGGGTACAGCGACTCGACAGCGAGGGGGGAATGGCAAAAGACGGTGGAACAACCGGCAGTGACAGTGCTGACACACAGACAGCGGACAGTGGAAAGTGGACAGTGGCAACGGCAGGGGGGACTGCAGAGAATGGCACAGGCAGCGCTTTGAGCAACACAACAATACTTCCCATGCCCATGCCTATAGTGTACAGCGAGTACGGCTCACAGTGACAGTGCACAGCGTACAGACAGACAGATGGATGGACGACAGCGCTATTACAGCGCATAAACAGGTCTAGATGACTAGATGACAACAGCACAGCGGTGCTTATCGTCAATGGGCCTCTTCAAACACAGGGCGATCATACAGCAAGTACGACACAGATACGAGCAGGGTGATGACCGACAGCGCCGGTGCAGCGTTGAAGGAGGAGAACAGAAATCCTATAAAAGGCTGTTCTTTCTTCTGATACTTATATGTTAGTATTGGTACTTTAACTCAACCACTGTAGCGTTTTGGTTGCTTTGTGTATTGATATTTGTATGTGTTACTAATTGTTTGTGTGTGTATGAAATTCTCAGGGTTCAATTCACTTGTCTACCTGATTGTTCCACACGAAAATCGCGCTATAGACCTACTATTTTCAGTCGTTTCACCTCTGTCTTGTCACTTTTAACTCGGAGCGACTCCAACCGACTTGACTCAACGTCACTATTTCTTAACTTCTTCTTAACTTTTTACTGAGGGTTGATCACTTTTACTCAGATGTGATCTGAACTGCACACTTATACTAATAAAACTTAATTTTTATTAGGACGCCTTATGACCTATGAGCCAGAGCACGTAGGGGAGAGGAGTAAAGAAGGAAGAGGGGTCGGACCAGAAAATGCGGTCTTTTATACCTTTCCTAAGGGCTCTGTTTTCACATGTCACTTTACTATTTACATTGCTGAGTAATCTTATATTGAGCTTAGCAATCTTCTTATGTAAGCGATCAGCATCCCATTCTGCTTCTAGAACTTTCTGGAAGTTTTGGTGTGGGAATTAGCCAATTGCATTGCCTAACACCCATCATGACCTTGTTTACCCTTGTTTACTCACTTTATTCTAGGTCACATGTCATGGGGTTATTTGTTAGCTTAAGAGTGTAGCTTTCCGTCGGTATAAACAACAGTAAACTACGAGGATTATTTATGAAGATATGAATTTTTCAAGATTTAATTTTGAGGTTCTCCAGATTGCTTTGGCATTAGCTCATCCATTTTCCTACGATTAATTCTGGATAAATTATGCCTTGTTTCTGGACTCAAACTCTTTAGTTTCGCATTTCTAGCTCATCCGTTTTCACCACAAACTCAGGATGTTTGAGCCAGTCTTCTCTGCAAGTGTGTTTTAATCTTGTTAAATCCATTTCTCCCTCAATTCTTCAGATTTTAACATGAAATTTTTTCGTCCACAGACCTATACTTCAACTCTTTAAGACCGACAAATATTCATATTTTTCCCTATTTTCCTCGTATAAATATTTCCAATTCTTTCATCCTTTCCTCGTACCCGACCATTTTTCATTATATGAATGCCTTGATTTCCTTCCGATTTCTCTTTCTCATTCGTTTCGTACGTTCGTAAAACTATTTTCCCACGTTACCACGAATTTCTAATATTTTATTTGATACAGGAAACCTTGTTTTTGTTTTCATGTGAGTTTATTTGCTGTTTTTCTTCATTTTCTGAACCATCTTTTAATCCCTAGACTTGAAAGTTCGCACAGATACTCAATCCATCGACTCTGTTCTTCATTATTTTTCCGATATCTTATTTCAATTCATTGTGTTGAGTTATGATTTTATTCCTATTTTTATTTCTGGTCCGTGGAGGTTGTATGATTTTTATCCAATTTTCTGTGATGGTTTCTGGTTGTTTTAGTGTTGTAACTTTTATATTCCTACAGCGTGCGTGACGATGGGGATGTGCGGGGTTTTGCAAAGCTTCAACAGCAACTGTACGCACTCACAGCAATGTAGGCATGATACGTTGGTCGCGCACAATTCACAGACATGGGGCATATCAGTGCAGCAACAGTGCAAGCAGCATGTGTCAAATGGTCGCAGGCGGCGTCAGCGTGGATACACAGCGCACGGAGGGGGGTGGGCAGCAACACTGGGAATGGCAGCAGTAATGTGGGGAACGGGGAACAACAGTGGTGGCAGCAACAATGGCTGCACTTTGAGCACTCGATCAGCTCATAATCTCCCTCCCTTGCTCAAAGCGCTTGTTGGTCCTAAGTGCTCAGCTTCCGCAGTGATGGAGCAGATGGAGTACCGGTACGTCAGCAATGGCAGTGTTTGTCAATAGCACACAGAGAACATGGGGATCGGTGCCACAGTCAACCCCATACAGGCAGTGGCAGTAGCGCGCGGTCAGCATGCTGAAGTTATCGCTAACCTCAAGCACCCCAACTGCTAAGCAAACAGCAAGTGTGACTAAGCACAAGAAACAGAACACGGAAATGTCTCATCCGTGGGTTTTTACTGAACCCCCAAACAGCGCGCATCCGCAGCATCGGGGGCAGTGCTTAACAACAGCGCGCAGATGGGGTAGGCAGCGGTTGCCTTATCAGGAAGGTATGGTGGGTGAGAATGCTCGCATCAGGAGGCACTCCGGACGCCATCTATGGGGGTGGTTCAGTTCTGAATGTCGCAACGGGGGGTCCTTTGTTTGCTTCGCTCATAACTCCTGAAGTAGTCAGCCGTTCGCCTCTACACTCAGTACGTAGATAGCCCTAATCTTCCTCTATCGGACAAGCGCAAAATCGTGTCTCTGCGATTCCTAGACAGCGCTCACGTCGAGGTTTACTTCTGATCATCAAAAATACACATTCTCGACGACGATCTCCCTGACTTCTTCACCAATCCCGGCGTTATAGGGCTCGTTACAATCCTGTGATCAACCTCTACAAGTTCTCTTATTAGGGAAAAGCGCCATTCGGTAGCGGTGCGTGGCAGGGTGTGCAGAAAGAGCAGGACAGCTTCAGGAGCGCAAGCGACAGCGCACAGGCAGTTGCGGCAACAGGGATGGGACATGGTTGGCAAGGAGCATAGTACACATGCAGTACTAGGTCGAATGTCAATGGAAATAGTTCAAGCATCCCAACAACAACGTCGACGGCAATGCCACATCAGCAACACATCATTGCACGGATGATCAGGCACCAGACACATCGCATTGGTCAGCGAAGTCAGCTAGCATGTATTGATGGCAGAGCATGCATGGCAGCCACCAGTCATGGATGCGGCGACGATGACGGTCAGGTGAGCAGCAGGGCAAGGGGGGGTTCACCTCAGCGACATAACGGATAAGAGCTGAAAGCATATTAAGCATGGCAAGGCAGCCCAAGTGCTGGGTACATCGGATCACAAGCAGCCACCCCTGCGCAGGTGGGTGTGGTGCGTCATGAGGACAACACTTCAGGCTAAGTGGTCAGGGACACTCCCCTGTGATGGGATTGCCACTACACACAGCTGACATCTGTCCCATCAGGTCCCTCATGCCAGGACTTTGCCACTTTCGGAGCTGTCCCTGACACTTGCATTTTGGTCGCTGCACTACAATGAGAGTTGGCAAACTGCAGATGGAAAGAAGACCAATGACTTACTTTTGGCTTGAAGTGCGATAGATGTAGGCATGTCCTCAGTCTCATCTCCACTATGTGTACTTTGTTGACCATTATCGTCATTGTTGCTGCCATTGCTGTCCTCGCTGTTGTTGTCATCAATGTTGTTGCTGTGATGGCTTATGCGACGATGGCCTATCCATCCCAAAAGAGTCTGAGTTAGTCATCAAACACAAACAAGCATTACTTGCACTTAGGAAGAGTGTCAGAGACCGGATCGAGACAAAGGATTGCCTCCATGGCAGAGGGCTTTGGCCTCAGCGACTCAAGCCAGGAGCGCTGTGCCAAGTTACACGTCTGTGCCCTAATTTACTTACTGGCAACGAGAACTAAAAGGGGGTCAACTCCAGTCGATTTTATTACTGAGGTGTAACCTATGTACAAGTTGAGTATATATAGTTACAGCGAGGGTGGGCCCATAAATGGTGGGGCCGAGCAGAGCAGAGCTAACAGAGTTGATTAGCTGATTGAATATTACCAACAAGTTGGGTTACGGGGTTAGCGGAATGGTAGGCAATAACCCATAAATGGAAAGGAGGGATAGGCCCAAAGGTGGGCTTGCAGGGCAAGTGAGTGAATTGCCCAGCAGAGGCAGGAGTGTGCTAGCGGATGTTGGAGCTGTCCAGAAGCCTTCAGGGCTCTGTACTTAGGGAGGCATAGGTAATATACTGAAAAGAGGGGGTGGTGACCATCGAGGGAAGTGGAGGTGATTGTGGAATACAGGAGCTCCGAGGTTAGTGAAGAAGGAGCAGAGGTAGTCCAGAGGGACCAGAGGTAGTGAAGGACGATGGCTGTGGATGGATATGACAAAGAGGATCGATGTCTACAAGATGTTAGAAATTGCAACAAATTGAGAACAAGTCAACTTCACTCACCTTCATCCGTGAGAGCATCATCAATGTATTTGTTCTTTGAAGGGAGATGCAAGCGGATTCTTGATGGAATTTTGCATTCTGAACAAAGGTGTTAGCATGGACATTGTGAGTGCATTGATTGATCAAGGAAATACTCTTGGCCTGATGGTTGTCTTGGGTGCAATGTCTCATCAGACCGGTTGCGGATGACCCTATCCTTGTCATCCCTATTTGGTTTGCTGCATGAATGCCAGATAGAGAGGAAATGTTGGTGATACTCACCTTTCCCTCGCACTTTTCCAGTAATCGGTTGGTTTCCCACATCCTTAGCATGGTAATCATCTGATTCAGTGTGGCCCCCATCAAATTTAGTGCAGCTGTCATCCGATTCTTCATCTGATTTGGTGGGGTCATTTCTGCAGTTGCCCAGTTCAGTGTCACTCTCAATGGCGACATTATCTATGGCAGTATTATTCTGGGAGACACGATGAGCTATGCGCTGTAGTCCTGGGATCCGTTTAACATTTTCACCTGCATGGGACAGCGGAATAGTTGTTTAGCATTGGTCCAGCAAGTGTATTGATCACCTTTTTGTTTGGCCTTTTGTCGAAGAACTGTTTTACATTCTCTATCGCTGTCTTGATTAGTGCTGGAATAGGCCAGCTTTCTTCATAATTCTGTTTGATCCAGGCATGCTCGATAAGGATCTGCATGATGCAAATAATCAGTGTGCTATAATGATGAGGAAAGTGGATTAAATAGGCTCACTTCATCTTGAATTATTTTGAGCATTTCAATGTCAATGGCATTGTATCTTATCGTGCCTTGAAGGTATGGCCCCCTAATATTTGCGCGTAGGGCAGATCGAATGGATTCCTGATATTTGGTTGTCACACTGCAATATCACATGAATTAGAAGGCCTCAGTACTCACTCGTACAGTGTTCATATCTTTTTTCATAATGCTCAGTTCCTCCATCAGACAGAAGCCACAATTGAGACGATCTGCATGACCCCACAGCCATGGAATTTGCTCTTGGACATGGTTTTGATGCACTGAGTGCAACAAAATATATCAGAGTAGCCAACACAGAGAGGCTACTGCACTTACACATGTCAGCATCCTTCTGGAGGCCTGGAGGACACGATCGTAGATCAATGCATTTGAATGTGAAAATAGAGGGAGACTTGCCTTCTAGCACCTTCTCGAGCTGTTCTTTTTCACATCTGAGGGAAGAAATCGTGCGTTTTTGAGTTACAGAATGGCATGAGAAATGGTGCGATGGTGGAGCGCAAGAGGCTGGTCACCTGGGCAGATCGTGTTTGTTCCAAGTTGAATTCATTCTCATCTCAAACAGAACCAAATATGCCAAAATAACACGTCTCAAGCGCCTGCAGCTTCCATTGGTGTAATTTCCCCTCTCACTCAACTGTTTAGCTCTCTGAGAGGTGGGACACATCTGGGTACTTTGATCAAACATTTTGAGACTGCCTTAAGCTATGGTTCATGATTGCCACACAAGTGACACAACCAAAGCTTGGAAGCCAAGGTACTCGACTAGCACAGCTCTGTCAGGGGACATAGCGTAAGCAGTTCTCTGTTACCCTATCAATATCGCATAAGACTATATCACCGCATGTAGCCGCATCAGCCCTCATATATCGTAAATCCCTCACCTTCTCCTGATCCGACTCTGCCCCCTGATCCGAGTGTTCCCTCACCTCTATTCACTTTGTTTTCTATCGGATCATTGTTTAGTTCCTTTGATCCTATCTCTTCTGATTGATTGATGTCACTTGTGTATATAGCTCTATGTGCCGCTGAGGGTTGGAACCTCAGCTTTGTCTACGACTAGGTTTTCAGGTGATATTTGACTCGGACTGACAAGTGATCCCTGACAAGCTCGCAGACACCACAAAGTCCAAAGGTCACATCTTTTTGGATGTCTGGCTCCCCATAGCTATTACAAAAGGCGAAAAGGAACTCTCAATCCTGCTATGGAATCAGAACTCGACACAATGGGGAATTCACCATGGGAAGATCCATTCAAATATGAGCACTGGGCCTCAGAAGTGGAAATGGCACACTTTGACGATGATTGCAAAATTTTGTATGCTTCCAGTCAGCTATGAATACAGTTTGGTGCTAACATCTGCTCCTAATGCTAATGGAAGCAATGATCGGAATGATGATGGATCCCAGAGTGATGATGGATCAGGGGAATTCTCAGGGCCTAACCAGGCATCTCTGGAAGAGTGGATGGAGGCTGTTGAGGAATATAAAGCAGGCATGACCTTACGGCGCTATAACCAATTTTGTGTGTCGTAATTTCTCTCACTTTGTCATCAGCTAACCTGCAAATGCAGACAACCAGCCCCTTTCCAGTGTAGACTACACAAACCTGAAGATGTTCGACATTATGATTCACAGCAATATGTCTGGTTTGACATATAGCATTATTTGGTTGCGCTTTGAAGAACTTCAACTGAAGTCGCTTCATCAACTTCACTCATACATCTCCAGGCTTTCCCATGTCATAGAGCATTCATATGACTGCTGCATTAACAGCTGCTGCTGTTTTTCTAGCGAACTTGCCAATCTCGATACTTGTCCATACTGCAAACGATCACGCTTCAAACCAAATTGTCGTCATCCCTTCAAGACCTTCCATTATCTCCCAATGGGACCTCGCCTCAAAGCGCTCTACACAAACAAGAGCTTTGCTGAACATCTAAAATACCGTGGGGCTCTTGATCTCAATACTGGGACTATTGACGATGTCTTTCATGGAATCCACTACCATCATCTACAGCAACAACAAGTTTGTCTTGATGGGCAGCGATATCAGCACTATTTATTCAGTGATCACTGGGACATTGCACTGGGGATCATGATGGATGGATTTCAGATCTTTGAACACCAACGCGATGGCAGCATGACTTACTGGCCCATTATCGCAATCAACTTCAACCTGCCACCCGAGGAATGTACTAAACTGTCGAATATAATCCCACTTGCTATAATCCCAGGGCCAAAGGCACCAAAAGACTTCAATTCCTTCTTGCAGACAGTTGTTGATGACTGCAAGCAGCTGGCTCTGGGAGAATGGGCATTGGATATAACTTCAAATGAAACTTTCAAGCTTCGAGCTTATCTGATTTCTTTTCATGGCGATATGGTTGCTGTGAAGCACATATTGAATTTTAAGGGTCCTAATGGGATTTCCCCATGCTCAGTCTGCCACATTAAGGGAATTAGGAATCTTGATGGTGCGACAACATACTATGTCCCTCACACACCTCCTCTTGACCAGCCCAAAACATGTGATACATACTGGGATATTCGGGACAACTTGCTCCATTCCAAATCTGATTATCAACACACACTCTCAGAGGTCGCTTCCCTCCTAGGCAGTTCCAGAGGCTCAAAATCGAAGCTTTCCAAAATCCAACAACAGTCTGGGATCAAGGGAAACTGCATGCTCACTGAACTTCCATCCATTTCAATTACTGGGTCTTTCCCCCATGATTGGATGCATCTTTGCCTAGAAAATCACTCAAAAAATCTGGTTGCACTATGGAAAGGTAAATATAAAGGCTTGGATGAGGGGAAGGAAAGCTATCAGCTTTCTGAAGCTCTCTGGGAAAGAATCGGACAAGAAACTGCTCAAGCTGGGGACTTGGTACCCTCATCCTTTGGATGTCATACCCCAAACATTTGGACAGAAAAGCACATCTTCACAGAAGATTGGGCTTTCTAGATGATTCACATAGCGCCGTATGTTCTCAGCAACAGGTTCAACCGCCCCAAATATTACAAACATTTCATGAAATTCAATTCAATCCTCAAACGCACCATTCAATATTCTTTCACAGAGAAAGACCTGGATGAGTTGGAGCAAGATATCATTGATTATGTGAAAGAATATGAAATGTGAGTTCATTTTATCACTTGAGTTTTGTGTGTGAAACAATATATTGCGTGGCTTTTCTAGTATTTACTACCAGTTTTCGGCTCTGCATTTATCTGCATGCCCCCTCACTGTGCATGCACTCCTTCATATCCCATACGACATTCGAAACAATGGGCCACCATGTAACAATTGGACCTTCATCATGGAGCGTTGGTGTGGTTCGCTTTTACTTATTGTTTAATGTTTTCATTTCATGGGACTAATCATGGGGCTACAATCAGACCCAACCCAGCTCATGCTGAGGTTTCCTCCACTCGATCATATCCTGCCGCTCCTGTCCTAGCACTGCCCACTCCCCTTTGCTGCTCCTCTGGGGCAACAACTCTACCCTTGAGGAAAGGGAAAGTGACATGGCAATATGCCATTGAGGTACCCATGAAAACACCTTCCCCCAACTCGAGGCCCCACACACAATATTGTATGCAAGGAACTGCAAGGAATAATTGCGGAAAGTTCTACTCTGTCCAACCCACATCCACCACCACTTGTGTGTAAACACCATTTACACACAAATCCTCACAGAACAAGTGAGGAAGAATACCAAAGACATATAATCTTTGGGTCAAAATTTATTTTCGAAAAACTTCTTCTCTTTATTACTTTTCCCCTTTGCAATACCCATGTATCGCCATTCACTTCAAAGTGATGCCCCACACCCACTCATTCCCTCAATTTCTCTCACTGACATGTACAAATCATCCACTTTAAAGTGGTGATAATAAAACACTCATTGATATTTTCAAATTCAATGTAACTTCTTTTTTTTTCTTTTCTTTTCTTCATCATTAACCATGTATGGATCACAAATGCAACACAAGGGGGGAGAATGTCAGGGCAATAGCCCTGAACCCTGAGCCATATGTAATTACAATGTACATATAGTCATGTGGGTAAGTGGAAACTTCCGGTTAACCGCTTACACACACCATAATATACATCCCCTATGGCCCACAGCCTCAAGTCTAGCCAGCATCCAAGGCACAATCCTACTGTGGGTCAGAGATGAGAAGGAAGTTAACTTCTCATCTTCCCACAGTGGCCACAATAGATCAAAAACTTCTGGAGATATCCAGAAGTCACATGAGACCCGAGACCTGGGGCCTGGGGCATCTGGCCACATGGAGCATCCGGCACAGGGCATGCACAGGAAGTGTAACAGCTGGGTGTGGGCGTGGGTGTGGGTGCGAGTGTGGGTGTGGATGTGGGTATGGGCTAGGTCAGGGTGTATGCCCTGACATGGCCTCATGTGCTGAGCATCCCCCACTGAGACCTCACAGTGTGGCGAGTCAGAACTGGGCAGTCATGTCAGACAAAAGGTCAGCAGTGCCAGGTGGTAGGCTTTGTGCAGTGGCTGGGGTAGAGTTGTACTGGGCTGATAACCTGTTGATCAGTATGGGAGGAACTCAGATGAATGGGAGCATGAAGATGCAATGTCTAGAGCATGATGTCAAGCATGGTTAAGCATTGCACTCAGGTTGTCATCCCGGAATCCCGACCCCGTGCTCTCCCACCACACCACACCTTCCTAACAACTTCACCATCCCCTACACCATGACTCCCCACTCCCCAAGTCACTTCCTTCCTAACTGTCTCAGCCCCGGCCTGGTTGCAGCACACCGAACCTTGGCCACTCCCATCCCGGAAGCTCGGTCCTGAGTCGGAACATTTGGAGACTCCGGATTTGCTCCGATATCCCAACAGACCTCTGACATCCCGTGACATACCCCTAAACCATTCCCCCACCCATTTCATTTATTGGAGTCACCCAACATCCCTCAGATACGTAACTCTGCCTTCAGAGCTACCCGCATCCTTCGGTGACCCACTCACATCATCACTTATTAGTCACCTTCCATTCAGAGCATGGCTATCTTCTTACAATTCAGTCGGCTAACCCCCTCTTACCCATTTCTCGTTCCCATTCATCTTCCAGCCTCTTACTCTGCCCTCCTTGACCTGACACCTCGGTTCCCTGTTAAGGATATTGTTCGGGACCTTTCGGTACCTCTCAGTATCATTCGGCACCTTTCGGTGTTTTTCTATTATCATTCGGACTTTGACTAAAGTCCTTTCCATTCCTCCATATAAATACCTGTAGATTAGAACCTGTAGTTTTCCTTAGTTCTAATCTCGACTAAAATGTTACCCCAAGTCCCTCTGAGTGAATCCCGACCCCTCTCTACAAGATACCTCAGACATAAGAAATACAAGGACTAACTGAGATGTAACGGAGGCACAGCGCTCCCTCCAAGTCGCTGAGGCCACGTCCTTCTTGGAGCCTCTGTGCCATCCAGCAGAACCGGGCTTCCTGGAGAAGCTTCAGTTCACTACCGGAGCTCTCGGATCCCCTCTAGTTGAGCCCCACCTGCATTCGGACTCATGCATTTTCCCCTACGATCCGGGTTTTTGACACAGGTCATCCTTGCCCTTTTATGGTCTGTCTAACTATGTAACAAAGCAGACAACAATCATGAAACTAGCACCTCTGATACTTTGTGCAACTAAGG